ATAGATAGATAGATAGATAGATAGATAGATAGATAGATAGATAGATAGATAGATAGATAGATAGATAGATAGATAGATAGATAGATAGATAGATAGATAGATAGATAGATAGATAGATAGATAGATAGATAGATAGATAGATAGATAGATAGATAGATAGATAGATAGATAGATAGATAGATAGATAGATAGGTAGAAATCCATGTGTTAGTTGTATCTATCTGCTCCTTCCTTTCTGCGTTATAATTTACATGTCCTTGAGCTACAGTAATGATTTACTGTTACACAGTACCATCTGCTGGTAGATTTATTTTTATACAACATTTAAAAGAAAACACTTAGTTTAGTAACAACAAAAAAGGTTGTTTAGTAGTTTTCTACCTTTTTTTAATTTCTGCTGTCTGGACTGATTATTTTTCTTCTTTTTTTTTTCTTCCACTCCAGGTTGAATTCTGCAATAATTGGCACTCCCATTACCTTGTTTACAGCTAATTTCCAACACACTCACACACCCAGCCCATCAAGCAGAGGAAGAGGTAAGAGCACAATGATCAAATCACACCTGGTTTGTCAAAAATAATTTTAAATGCTGTTGATTGCTATTATAATTGTGACAACTGAATGCTCTTCATGAGATTCAAATCAATGACAGCTCACAAAAGAACTATCCTCAACAAAACATACATAACTATGTATTTTATCTCTGTTTGTCATACATCCGATTTGACTATTTTGGTGTACAGATATTACCCAGGCTTTCCAGGATATCACAAGCATCAAGCCTCGACAGAAGACACTTGCTAAAAAGGTCATGAAGAAGAAAGAGCTGACCCCAAAAGATGTAATTGAAAGTGTTCAGGAGGAAAGAAATGGTGGAGAGGACAAAACAAAGGTGACCACATCTGATGAAGTGCAGGAGGAGAGCATGAAACGACAAGAGCAGTCACCTGTTCTCACTGGCGTGCCTTCGCAGGATGTCCCAGACGGAGCTCAGATCAGCAAAGCCTTTGACACGCTTTGTAACATCGTCCGAGAAAGAATGAGGAGGTACAAGAGGCCCGAGCCGATAGCGGACTTCTACACCAGAGGTCGTTATGTTCTTGTTACCGGTGATGGCAGCTACCTGGATCCCTGCTTCCACACCTCCACACCATCAGGCAGCCGCATCTTTGTTACCATCAGAGATGAAATGACGTCTCCTTATGACCCTTATAGGCGCAACACACCCTCTCCTCTACCCCCTCAGCCCATGGTGGACCCCAGGCCTATAAGCCCGAGCTTTCCTCCACATGGAGGAGAAGGTAAAGATGATAACAAGGGTGGTAGAGCTAAAGATAGTGAAGGGAAAGGGAAAAACAAAAATGGAGACCCCTATCCAAGCCCTGTTCCTCCACCATGTGGCCCCAGCTCCCATGATCCCACTCCTCCTGGCAACAAGTCCAAGAAAAATAGGGACGACAATGGCCCGAGCAGAATTACTCCAAAGCCCGCACCTCGTGCTGACAGCACCAGTTCCAGCACCACCAGCACCAGTACCAGCAGTTCCAGCAGCTTCACCCCGGACACCATGAGCTATGAGAAAGTGGAGGTGGTGGAGTCTGTGGAGAAGTTCTCCAGTGATCGCAGAGTTAAAGATTATGAAGAAACTTCCATGGTGGTGGAGACCATGATTGAAAAGTCTACCAAGAAGAAACACTAAAACCACCGGGTCCAAACGGGACTGTCTTCAGATTGAATAACATTCATTTTCAAGTCGCTCTAAAGATTCCTTCTCATAGGGAGACCAATTAAATCAAACGCATTACTGCTCTGATAGTTACAACTTTTTCTATTTGCTTGCAGTTTCTGCTAATGAGTCCTGAATGCTTATCACTAGCTCTAAGTGCTGCTGTTGTTCAGCTTGCACCCATGCGATTAGTCCTTTACTGTTTGAAAACTTGGGAAACAAAGCTCTATGCAACCAGAAATTTTTTTTTGAAAGATAGGTTTTGACACTATTTGGAGTAACTCTTTAGGAACTCCATCTTTTCCATCTGAGCTCATTGGTTCAATTCGATGCCACTATTTGCCCTCAGCACAATTTTGTTGTGTATTAATTTGCTTTGATACGTGAAACAATAAATGATTGAAACATCAATTCAAGTCTTGTTTCATTCACTTTCTGAGAAATGATCCTGTTGAAAAATTGTAACATAATGTTTTAAGACAATAAACAAAAACGAAAATGACAGAAAAATCCCTCCTTTGCGCTGATTGGTCAGCAGACTAGTAAAAAATAAAGGACCGTAGTGCTTGAGTTGTGGCAATGTAACCTTTAGGAAGCCTTGAGATGATTTGGGGTTTTATTGTGGTGTCAGTAAGAAAGGGATCTGGACATTTAACAATTGATTCAGCAGAAGTGTTTTCAGAGGGCAAGTGTTTGTCTTCTGGTTGCCAGATACATGCAAGTCCTACTTAACTTTCCACTTATTGTTTGCCATAATAGTTTAATGACATTTTTTGGCACATTTCTTAGCAAGACAGTCTGTAAAACATTACAGTTACAAAAAAGAGTTTTCCTCATAAAATAATAACCTTATTTTGCCTCAAAGACACTGTATTAATATCTCAGATGAATAGATTTATTGTATTTTCTGCAATAAAATAATGTTTGTTATGAAGTGTGAAGGATTTAATACACATTCTCTTCCTTTGTACTTTATTGATATTTTCTCTATTTTTAATTAAAATATACGTAACAAGCTACAGTATTTCCTGAGGATATTGGGAGGTGTGTTTCAAATCACTAGTCAACGTGTATAAATAGCTGAATAGATTTATTAGAGCATATACTTTAAAGATTATGAAACGTGAACTGATAACCACATTCTGCAAAATAAATTACACACTTTTGTCCTTATTTATATAAACAGTGCATTTCACAAAGCTCATAATCAGAAAGAAATATCACTGCTCTGTTTGCAAGAAGTTAAATTTTAAGTAGAATGACACAGTAAATAATTTACAATCACAAAGTTTACAACGTTTGGCAGAAGAACGGTGCAGGGCATTGAAGCAAGAGCATGGAAGAGTGGCATATATTTTGGGTCTATATACAATTCAGTAGTGTAAAAAACAGCTGATATACTTTGCTTTCTCTACGTAGAACAGATTTCTGAGGGTTACACCTTTTCCTGTGTTACGATAAACATTCATTGAACAGAGAAAACTGAAACTTTGGTTCAAAAAAGCAGAGAGGGGGGAAACAGAAGGAGACAAAAAGGAAAGGACACCAAGAAGAACTAGAAAATTCCTGGAGAAACTTTGATGGGGACTGCCAGACTGCTGCCAATTTAAATAGTTGATTTGACAGTACTATGTGTTTGGGATCGTTCTCAGCTACCACTATACCAAATTTCAGCTGAATCGCTCTAAAAATGGACAAGTTATCAATTTTTTTTCACGTTTAGCTAAGGCGGCCGTCTTGGATATTTGATTTGCATTAGGAATGTATAACAACTTGTTCTCAGCTACAACCATGCTAAATTTCAGCTCAATATCTCAAAGAATGACTGAGTTATAGTCAATTTAGTGCTTGCTGAGGTAGCTGTGGCAGCCATCTTGAAACAAAATGGCTCCAAACGTTAATCAGTTCTAGAGCTACATGTGAATATTACGTTCTGTGAGTTTCAAACAAATCCAACAGTGACTTTCTGTTTTCTTTGTAGACATCTTCACGCTATGTGACTTCACAACAGTGGTTATTGTGAGGAGTGTTCCCTCAGGCGTTTTATATGGGGAAATATGGCATCTTTGTTAGCAAAATATATCACCATAGTAACTCAAAACGCCAATAAATATAAGAGCACACACCACGGTTCTGAGATGGTCGTTTTGATATAACATTTGTGGGGGTATTAGTTGCAGTTTGGTCTGCATTAAAGTTGACAAAAGAGTGTATAAGATATAAATAAAGTTAAGAAACCCAAGTTGGGTGGATAATAATAGGTGTCTGCATTTACTATGCAGTCCCCAACTAAAGAGAAGTAGTGAGGTTTTGAGAAAAGAGCAGGACTGCAGAGAAGTTAAAATACAGGAGAACGTGACGGAGGTGGCGACATGCAGGTGGAATTTGAATTTTAGTTGTTTTTACTCAATAAACTCTTCAAACTTCTCTCTACAGCTTCATCCAGCTCCTCCTCCAGCTCCTCCTTTTTAGACATGGCGAGTTTAGACTGATAATCACGCACAATCTGGTCTATGTAAGGCGCACTTTGTGTTCCGTGCAGCATGAGAGTCCACTCCTTCAGAACCCCTCGCTGTGACTGCTCCCCCTGAAAGCCCACCTCAAGGACCCAGGTTCCACGGGGGTCCTCTCCCCAGGTGTGGGTGGTCATGAAGGGCCACTTGTCAAAGCCGACCTTGGCGTCGTCGTCACGGGGCCTTCGACTCAACAGTATGGACTTTGTGCCCATGGGAGAGGTCATGTTGATGTTGAGGTCCCCACGGCGGCTGGCGTTGACGGTCAGGACGGCCTGAACGTGCTCCAGGTAGCGGACAAAGTTGTCCTTCCCTTGACAGGCTTCAGTGGTGATGGTCAACACCAGCTTGTTGCCAGTCTGGATTTTACTGGAGAAAATGAAACAGAGTTTAGTGCTGAAAACTCCATATTGCAGTAAAGTCTATCTTTAGTGTTAAATATGAAAACCAGTGTCTGTTTATTTTAATGTATCATTTAGATAGTATAAAATAAATTACGTTCTCATTAACAAAACATATCCTGCACATGAGCATAACAAGTTGTATATTCCGTATGATTTTTTTTTTTTCCTGTTCAATCCAATTCAGTAAAATATAAAGAAAATGAAGGGGTTTAAAACGAACACCACATCAATAATTTCAAAAATAAAATAGATGTGAAACAAGCTATATAAATCCATCTTTACAAAGTTATTTATTCTTCACAACGTTGTTTTTTTTTTTTTTTAAAATGGAAACTAATTGGGGGTGGCACAGTAGTTGTTAGAGCTGTTGCCTCTCAGTGAGGAGGTGGCTGGACCAAATCTCAGCCGGACGGCTTTCTGAATGGAATTTGCATGTTCTCTCGGTGCATGTGTATTTTTTTTCCAGGTACACTGGTTTCCTCCCGCAAACCAAAAAACATGCATGTTAGGCTGATTGATAACTCTAAATTGTTTCTAGGTGTGAGTGAGTGTGAATGGATGTTTGTCTTTATGTGGCCCTGTGAGGGGCTTGCAACCTGTCCAGGGTGTACCGCCTCTCGCACAGTGACTGCTGGACGTGGGCATCAGTGACCCCTGGGACCCAAAAAGGAAGAAGTGGGCGTACAGATGGATGGATGGATGGACGCATGGATGCATGGATGGATGGAAACTAATTAGTTTAAATAAAAACGAACAGCATTATTGGATGAAACAAAATTAGCCCATACATGACATTATGTTGAATTAAATCTGAGTTAGAAACAGTATTTAAGCCACAGAGCAAATCATATAAATCAGTCTTGATGTACAACTCTTTGTCCTCAGATGTCTCTGTCTTCCCATGTCTGTTTATGTTTTACTCAGACGGGCTGTACTGAAATGCAATCTTGTTGTGCTTCGGTGCAATGATAATACAGCAGATTCTGATTCTGATATACCTAAACAACATGCTTCATTTAGTGAACTATGCACTTCTGTATGGCTGTAAATGTACAGGCTTAAAACAAACTGACAAAACATTATTAAACCCAGAACTGAGGATACCTTTTTCAATCAGCTTTGAAAAACGAGTGTAAAAAGGAGGCTGCTTTTGCAGTTGTTTGAAAAGACACGCTGCTTCTCCATCCCTTCGGGTGATGGGATGACTATGTGGGAGCACAGCAGGGCAGAGGTGGTGGCCAAAAGCTGTGAAGAGGCTTAATAACATCATTAGAGGCTGAAGCCACATCACTGTTAGAGGCAAATGGAGGCAAAAGTAACACACACACACAAAACAAAAAAACAACTGGGTAAAAACGTGCAGAACATTCATAAAAAGAAAAATATCACTTGTGCATCAGAATCAAAATAATCTTTATTATCATTGTACCGGGATACAGTGAAATTATGTTTGTACAGTCAATTTGTGCTGAGCAAAAAGAATGTGGTGATGAGATGCTGCCCGAAAATTGATATTATCGTTCCCAAATAAACAGAATAACTAACAATGGAATGTTGAAGAGAAACCTCCACCTTTACTCTAGAATTATGATAATTAGCTTATCCCACTGAATGCATATGTAGATGCTGAACTATTATTGTAAAGCTCTGTATGATCATGTGTTTAAAGGGCTAACTATACAACTGTCTGGAGTTTTGTTTTAGAGCTGAAATTACAGATGAAACAACAATTGTGTAGTAAATTAACAACAAGTTAGAAGATTAAATAAATATGTAACAACATGGACTGTGTTGTAGTACTCGAGACCGGTCTTGGTCTTGAGACCAGTCTCAAGACCACTTTTTAATGGTCTCCGTCTTGTCTTGGTCTCAGACATTGAGGACTAGGGATTTTATTTCAAGACCGCAACTGTGAAAATATCACTAAATTGCCAGGATATTGTTCATTTTATTTGTTAACATCCTTGCTTTGATTGGATGCAAAACGCACTGATTCAAATCCAAGTGAAAATGTGACTCATTGCTAAATACATGTTTTTGTTACTGCTGTCACGCCCACCCCCTTTCACTTGCACGCGTCACTCCCAGTGTAGCCAGATTGGGCGGTTTTCATTCTGATTTTGGTGGAAACTCTGGGAAGATTTTTTTTTGGATTGTTGCGTTTTGCCAGATATTGTTAAATTACTTTGTCTTGTACTGATGTGTGTTCATGTTCAAACAGTAAATATACTGTAACAATATATTGATTGGGTGGATTTTTGTGTGATGTGGAGGTTTTTAACAGATTTTTGAGCTGGAAAACCTCGACTCTATCTGGCAACACTAGTCACTCCAAGAAAATGAGAAGTGATTGTCTGGGCATGGAAGAAGATGTCTGCCAAATAATCAGTTTTAAAATGTGGCTATTTAAATCACAAAGAATATACTTGTAACTAATATCCATTTATGTAACTTTTTTTAAGTGTATATCTACTACTTTACTGAAACCACTGTGCAACTATATGGTTGTTCCTGGTCTTGAGTTCAAACTTATGAAGATTGTTTTGCCACTGCAGTTTTTTAAGGCTTGTGATGAAACTGTTTCCAATTTAACAGTTGTGTAATTTTATTGTTGAAACACATGAAGTTAGGCCACTGAATGTCTGATTATTTGTTATGTAGCTTTGAAAATGAATAAAAGCTGATTATATTCATTCAAAAGCAAACTTAAAGTTGCAGCATGTAACTTTTATTTAAAAAAAACATTTTATAATAAAATTTTATATTTTATTTTATTTGAAGTCTTGGTCTCGTACCCTAAAAGCCTTGGTCTTGACTTGGTCTCAAGTTAGGTGGTCTTGAACGCAACATTACATGGACTTCTACTTTTCTCAGCGCTTCTTGCCCTCTAAACAGGGATTGTCCGATTTCATGATTATTTTCAAAAAATGTAAAAAATACATATATTTGTGTTTATCACTGTATAATGCTCAGCTCTTTATTAAAAGTACTTCCCGCCTGTGTTCAAATACAAAGTAAATACATTTAAATATTTTTGCTTAGACTATTTTCTATCCTTATCGTTCAGTTTCTTCTTAAGGCACAGATGTTGTGATGTTCAGCGTCAACATTAGAAAAAACAGACAGCGATTTATTTTTGTAGCTAATATTATTTAGGCTGTTTCTAAATGCACATACACGTGTGTATTAATGAGTCCAGCAGATGTTCATTTCCCATCAGGTAATAAGTGAGGGTAATTACAATGCCAGTGAGGAGAGGCAGAATAAAAGCAGCCATGCTGCTCAGTGGGACGCTGCGTGCCATCTCAGCTGATAATGAGAAGCTGTCCTGCCATAAGCTTGGAACCTGCCAGATGTGGTCAGATCGGCGCTGAGAAGTGTTTACGAGCATGGCTATGTTGGTGTTTATTGATTTTTTTTTGTTTGTTTTGTTTGTTTGTTTCCTCTGATGATATACTATCATCAAATGTGGGCTTGTAATTATAGCTCGACCACACCGCAGGTAGCAGAAGTCCCACGCTGCTGCTGTGGAAACAAGGAACTGATTAAAAATAAATAAATAAATAGAACGTGACTTAGCCAGTGATTCAGCTTTTACCACGCAACTCAACAGCTAAAACAGAGAGACAGTTCTGTTGATATTGTTCGCCTATAAACACCACCTTGACAGGAGCAGTAGTCCCTTCCTTCAGCTGGTTACTGTTTTATGTCACCAACTTTCTACATAAATAGGGAGGCCTTCTCCCTCGATTTGCATGTGATGTGGCATGACGTATAAAATTCCTGTTTTTATCTGCACGGCACCCCACCCAAAGGAAGGACACGCTCATACAAGCATCCGTCTACGTCACTGTTGTCGTGAAAGCGCAGTCTGCAACACACCAAGACAGAAATAACACACAAGGGAGCTACAGTGTTGATAAATGTAAATATGTAAGCAGGTTGTGTTTCAGTGTGTTATTTTTATCTTTTTGGGCTCATAAGTGTCACTAAATGAGAGTTGTATGTATTTTAAAATGATCTGAATGTCATATCTGTGTTTCTTTGTGTTCTGCTTTTTTGATTTGTTTAATTTTGGCCCTTTGGGTTCAGTTGTGCCCTTGTGTTTGTATTCAGCCGTCTGTTTTCCAGTCCTCAACCTCAGTCACCAGTTCAATCCTCTCACACCGGTTCCTAATTAACAATCAACCCAGAGGCTTTCCCTCAGTTCTATAAAAAACACTTCTGATCATCGTTTCACTGTCGGCTCATTGTTCTTGGCAACCCGCCCGACGTCCCGGTCCTCCCTGTGTTCCTTCGTGTCTCCTTGTGTTTTTTTCACCTGATTCTGTAAGGTGCTGCTGCCACATCAGCCATTTTGTTTTTGTTTATTTAATAAATCAGGTTTTCATTTTCTTTTTTGCCACTTCGTACAGTTTTTATTTTAACCACTGGATATTGGATCACTTTCTGGTGTCGAGTCATTCAATCTGAACATTTTCACAGATTATTATTCTAGCCACAAAAAAATATATTTAGCTCAAGAATTTGAGCGAGGTGCCGATTACCTTGAAAGCAAGAAAACACTGGTACATAACTGAATCTGATGGTCAACTTGGTGACACGTTCAGAAACACTTCAGAAAGATTGAGCGGCACTTTCATATTTATCTCTCCTAATAGATTTTTTAACTCAGGCTATGTTGACACCTGTTTAAAAATTAGCTGTGTGCTGTGATTTATAGAACCATCATTTTGTCATGAAGTTAAACATCCTCGGAAAAAAGCTGTTAAACACATCGAAGGAGGTTAGATTAATTCAGTAATGTATCTTCTATGTCTTTACACCAAAAAGAAAGGATCAGAAATTTTGCATTTCGAAGAGAAATTGACTGTTAGACACCAGAACATTCATCATCCAGGAATAGTACAGTTTCTTGAATGAGATAAATCCTCTCATTTCCTCTGTAAGATATTTTGAGATTGT